CTGGATAGTGCGGCACCACTCTGAAGCAGTTGCGGTCGATGTGGAAGTGAGCTGCAATGGCACTCCTCATCTCCTCAGCGCTGACCCACGGACGGTTGCCGCCTAGCCAGACGAATGCCGCGAGGCTGGCCAGCCCAGCGGCCTGCGCGTCCATGTCCGAGGTGGAGATGACCACGGCGTGGTGCTCCTCCGGGCGAAGAGAAGGGTCTCCGATGCGCGGCATCCTGTCTTGGCTTGTGGAGGTGAAGCTGGAGCTTGATGCAGAGTAGCTTGGGGTTGTAACCGAAGGAGCTTGGGCTGGTCACAGACGAGCTTGACGCAGAGCTGTAGCCGGAGGAGCTTGATGTGAACGCAGAGCGAGGACTGGAGCAAAAGCGCGCCCGGTGCCCACACCGCCGACAGCGGAGGCACCTGAGCGAGTTGCGGCAGCTGGCCTTACAATGTCCTTTGTCTAAGCATCGATGGCAAACTCTGTGTTTCAACTTGACGAAGCCAGCGCCTGGGGAGTAAAATGGAGCAGGTGGCCTTTTATTTCTTTCTTAAAGGAAGGCTCTCTGCTCCATTGGGTGACGATTCAATGGTTCTATTCATCCTATTCCTAGGTCGATCCGTTAACTTGGGTTTTGTTTACCAGTTGGTTAGGTCAACTTGTGGCATAGCTGTATTGGACGCGATACGGTGAACGAGTCCCTTTTTGCTTTCCGATACTTTCTTGAAGGAATAGCATCTGAGTACAATAGTGTAGAGTTCCCGGCACTAAACATTGCAAAGAGTCTAAAAGAGGTGAAAGAGCTATAAAGAACTAAGGAAGAAGCCATTTGTAGCACTAAGAGGAAGATGTCTCACAACCAGCCTACGGATAATACATGCCAATATAGGAATGAAGCATGCATAAACTCGTAAGTCAATAGTGAATTTGGTTGCATCGAAGGCGGATAAATTCAATAATGAGGGCCGCCCGCAGATGATAGCAATTCGTCTTCACTAAGAGCTAACGACTAGAAATCTAGCAAATAGGACGCTTTGTCAATTGAATTAGTAAGTTATCCTGGTCTAGAGGGTGTTCTTCCTCCCCACTCTAGAGGCTAAACCAGTTAGAAAAGTGTCCCCCGGGAGTTTCGCAGTAGTAGATGATGTTCCTGGTACTAGTAGTCCATAAAACTAAGATTTTCTTGGCCTAAGAGCTCACCTGAGAGTCCAAGAAAGAAGGCAAAACAGCTATATAGAGCCCCTCCCCCGAGTCGAGCAATGAACAAGTAAGTTAAGTAGAGACAAGGAAGAGGGGAAATGCAGTATCGTTATGTTATAGCAAGATCATCAGATCATGGGTGAAGCAATCGATCATCAAAAAGTTCTTTATCAGCCGGCGGAAAGCGTGGTAATTGATTCATTTCATTGGAAAAGGATCAAACTGGAGTCATCGCATCGTTTCTAGATCTTCGATATCTCTATATTCTGAAGAATAGGTCCTAAAATGGTCAATCGATTGTTTTCTCAACGGGAATCGAGGAAATGGCAAGGGTTTGAGTATAGCGAGCAGAGGAATAGTTTCCTTTATCAAAAGAAGCCTATCGACTTGGAAACAGAAGATGTTGTAACTTAACTGCACCCTTCCTCTTCTGCCGATCTTTACAACGCTATGCACATCTCCTTCTTAGTTTTGAAAAAGAAAAGGGCCTCTTTCCTTTTCCCAATACTTGACCAAGATTTCTGTTTAGTTCAGTTCTAGATTAGGAAGCAATAGATGTTCCATTGGCCGAGAAGGAAACCAGTAAGCAGATTGAAGAGATAGATTGAATAACAGGCAGATTCCCCTCGTAACAGGCATATAAATAAGTCCCATTAAATTGATTGATAGACTATGCATCGATGGTGTCGAGTCAATCCTTGTAAGCTAAATACTACACAATCCTCCTTAGAGGGGGAACCTTAGAAGAAGAATACATATTACTTAGAGGACGGATGATGGTACATAGGCAAATCCTCAATCTATAGATGCTTTAGTGCCAGGCAGGCAGAGCCAGAGCCGCGTCGGGCAACGAACAACTCGTTTTTCGGAAGATAGTTGCGTTGTAGGTAAAGCTAGCAGTAGTTGGAGCTAAAGCAAGCTAGCTATAGGTGTTCGAATAGTTGTGTTGATAGAGGGTTTTCTCCCGGGAGACATATCGATTACACACAAGAACCTAACTCTACTTCTTTTATCCTCCTTACTGCTCCTTATCTCATTTCTCCTTTTATTAGCACAGCACCTTGTACTCCTTTACAGAAGCTGTATCGCTCAGAGCACAAATCGTTGTGCTCCTCACTGTTCAAGAGAGTTCTTGCCCTTCTCTGATCGGGGAAGGTCATTTAAAAACACTAGATCAGCCCCTTTCAGTTGAAGAAAAAAAGTGATCCACCTAGAATATATGATCGATACCAAAAGATTGGATGTCATTTCTCAACACCAGCTTCTCACCTGGAGGAGGGAAGGGAGATATGAGCATAGCGATAGCGGTATCTTTTCCTCTTTTGATAGAAGCCCACATGCCCACTCTTCTACCCCCCCCCCCCTGTACCACAGGGTATCAGGGGCCTCATGATCTCCACGAACAGAGATCACTACACAGGAAACTGCTATATGAAAAACTTGCTTGCTTCTTCGAATCTCGAAATAACAGAACATATAGAAAGTGTTTTTGTGATTTTTCCATTCTCTTCGGGGAACCTATAGAAAGATTATCAGACGGCTTTCATGATATTATGCTTCCTTGCCCGTGTGGAACATGTGTGAGCATTATGTTTTTCCAACAAGTGATCCGACTGGAAGAAGTGTTATATGAGGACTTCGAGATCAAATAGAGAATCTGTCTCTCCATTCCTCGTGAGCCACTTATTTCTCCGAAATCAGAGATCAGAGTGATTTTCCTCCTTTTTCCCAAATAGTCGACGGTCTTACACCATTGGGATACTTCGGATAAACTGGAGTACATATATGAGAGACCGGTGCTAAAACCTTTTCTCGAGATATCTTCCAGATTCTTAGGGTCCTTGCTC